CTCACCTCATAATATATGACCTCCAGAGAGTTTTTTATTTATTTATTTATTTTTTTTAATTATTTTATATCACCCAAGGCGCCTAAGAAAAATTTGTAATGGCTTCCACTCTGGTGTTTTCCAGTCCACTTTATGTATTTAACCATGAATAGTGGATGAGCAGGGAGACTGTAGATTTTTGTATTGCTCCAATAATTTGGTACCAAATTGGCAATAGTTACCTTTTCTTCTCCAAATTAAATGCTGTAATAACAGGACTGTCACATATTCTGTGCGTTTGTGATGGTTATTACACTGCTATCCCAGCATTGCTTAAGACACTGTGGGTGATTCTAATCTGATCCCTTTCATACCCCCACCTTGTCATACCTAAACATAATTAATTTAATAATTTTGCATTCAGTAAACAACACCTGAGGAAGTCCCACCTCATAACAGTGTTGTAAAAATAAAATAAGGGGCCCCTTTAAATTTTCCTGGACATGAAAAGCTTTTCCTTTCCAGGTCATGACACCTATAGAACACTTTTGTTATTTGTTCAAAACAAAACAAACCCTGGTCCATCCCAGGTGTTGCTGACCACCCACACAGCAGTAAAGGCTGCTGAGAGAACCACCTGGGTCCATGCTTCCCACTGTGAGAAGTCCACAGGCAGAGTATCAGACGAGGCTAAAGAAGCAGATGAATATAGCTCAACCGAGGAGCTACATCAAACACTTCCACCAGGAACCTTCATCAAGCGCTTTGAGTTTTCCTAAGATGTCACCTACATCTACCTACTCAGTAGGAGCAATCCTAGCTGAGGCAGCATTAAGAGACATGCCTGCAAGAAGCCTGCAGATACCACAGTGGCTAAAAGCTGCTACAATGTGCTAGATTTTCCCTCTAGGGTGCTGCTCACACTCTTCTTCTGGTATGTGCATACATCCCAGATTAAAGGAAGACCTCCTGTGATTAATAATACCCCACATCAAAGACAGTGAACTGTAATACGACCTTCCAACTCTTCTTGTGAAGCTGGCTGCTCTGCAATAACAACAGCTATCCAGGTGTCTCTGTGGTTGCATTCTGCTTGGAACATTCTATGATTTTTTTTTTATTCAAATGCTATAATTTATAGTCACAGACTTGGATGCCTTTAAACTCTGACATACTGTGGGTTACAACCGACTGAATACTTCTGGTCAGTGCAGTTAATAACTTGTGCCATGGGATCTCTTCAATAGCTAATCAGATGTTTTTGTAATATTTATGACATGTCAAATTTTAAAAGAATATCTTGAGTTTCGTAAGAATTTAAAAAGGGATTTATTTATAGTTATTTTGTTCAATCATAGCTGTTCGTTGTAGAAATTGGTTGTCAGATTAAGGCCTCATCATTTTAAAAACTCTAAACCATTTAATATGTTTTTTAATCTGCCTTTCATTTTTCTTTTAAAGCAGTTTGTGTGTGATGCATTAGAGAATTTATTAATCTTACATGTACAAGTAATCAATAAGCTGATAACTTTATTCACCAGATCAAGAAGAACCTCTCATGAAGCGAGAGAAGATAACAGCTTCTTTTCAGGTGCCTTGTAAATTCATTTTTCATATTCAAACTCCTGCAAACCTTAAATTGAATGAATAGATTTTCTGCCATTTCATTAATACAACATGGTAACAACCAGAGGGGGGTGGTGATTGGTTACATTTACTCAGTTACATTTAATTGAGTAACGATTTAAAGACAAAAGATGTACTTTGAGGATTAGATTTATTGTGTCATACTTTTTACTTAACTACT